TGAATATTGAAACATGAAAGGATAGTTTTGAAATACTTACAGCGGGTAAAAAGGTATTCGTACACCTTTTAAAACGCAATAACATTTTTACAACTGCATTAAATGATTTGAATTGTTAATAGATGATAGAGTATACTAGACAATGACTAAAATGTTTTTCCTTTTTAATTTTAATCGAAATTTTAATTTCCCAAATTTTGATCGAAATCAATTAAACCAGAGTCGAACTACAGGCGTTTTTGGTCAAAATCGTGACAAAACTTCGATTCTTATCCTTTCTAATTCGCTGTAATTCATAATAACGTCAACCGATTTCGATCCAATTTTCAGCATGCATTTAAGTTATCGAGATCTACGAATGAGATTTTTTAAATTTTCGTTGTAGACTCAGATAAAAAAGTTGAAAAATGAGAGTTTCCTATTTTTGTTTGTCATTCCAAGTAATAGCAAAATTAAAAAAAAAGCGTTTCAGTCATTGCCTCGTATATTATAGTATATAAATAGTTCAAGTCATTTAGTTTTAAAAAAGTTATTGCGTTTCAAAAGGTGTGCGAATACATTTTTTGCACACTGTAAACAACGAACTCGCTCATTTGTTTTCTAATTTAAGTATAACAACTGAATGTGCTTTAAAGATAATGCACAGTGTATAAATAAACCGTAGATATGTTATGGAGTATTGATAATACTCATTGTAGAAAAGGACAAAACCATATATGAGCCGTTTATTTTGAAAGTGGCATAAGTCACTTTACCGTGATGAAAAGTGGTGATTTTTTAATGTTTATACGAAATTATTTATACCGAGAAAAATATCAGTATCCTGAGATAACAAATACAAGTAAATCCTCTCGAAAGTTAGCATCCATATTTTGAAACGTGTTAAAACGCAAACCCTTAAATATATCGACTTAAAAACAAAGTGACTTATGCCACTTTCAAAATAAACGGCTCATATAACATTTGTGTGCATCAATTATACCTTTTTAAGCGAAGGCTAATAATAAAAAAGTTGCTTAATTTTAAATAATACAAAACGGACGATACAGAAGTCCAGATGTTGGCATATTTGAAGCTGGCTATTGACGAAATATTACACACAGGGAAGAAACGACTGCAAGTTTATCGAAACAGAATAACACGGTCATCACCTTGGCATTCGAAACCTCTTCGTCCAAGGTTTGGATTTCTTGCATAAGCATGTCCTTCGGACTCAGGAATCTCTTCGGGTCCCCAAGGAGCAAAGAATCCTCGTCATCGGTCGCCGTAGTTTCCTCTTCCAATCTCGCGAGAGGCGTCGATTTGCTCCTCATGAAGATATTTGTGTGTGAGGTGGAGACGGATTTCCCCGACGTCGCGCTGGTTTTCTTTGTATCATGCTGAGAGTCTGCCGGGAATGACGCTTCGGTATTGCTTCGCGATGTGGGCGTAGTCGAAGCAAAGACGAATCCGACAAAGAGGACGGTCAGCAGCACTGCTGCTAGGACCTTCATTCTGCCTTCTATAGACAGATAAAGATGTTACACATTAGTCCCGTCGTCAACGAAGCTTTTCGTTCTTCATCTCCTCTTCTGTTATTATTAAACCGTGGATTTGTGTGCGAAATAAAACTTTTCTGTAACGATTGCAAGAGATAATGTAATAATAAATGTATAATAATTATAATAATATAATATAATAATGATAATAATAATATAATAATATATATATAATATAGTTTATATAATATATAAAATTATAATAATATAATATATATATTATATAATATAATATAATTTATAATATATAAAATTATAATAATAATATAATAATTATAATGTAATAATAAATCTCTCTAATTTTCTTCAGCTTGTAAACAAAAGTGGACAATTTATAAGGAGGAGATACAATTATTCGAGCCTCATTTTCATAGTCAATAACATAGTCAACACACTGTCAACAATTATAAAAACGAGGTGCAAAGCTCGAACAATCGTATCTCCTCCTTATAAATACGATTATTCTAGATTATACGATCTCCTCTTTGTAAATTGTCCACTTTTGTTTACAAGCTGAAGAAAAATTAGAGAGAATTTACTGCATTTCTTTTCTTGATGATTTTACTAACCGAAGATTCTTGAAAAATGCTTCTATAGTTCTGTATTTCATCTATTGATTTTCGTCGCGAATTCATAAAATCCGCAGTCCATTAATTACATTATGCTCGGAAGCTTAATTTTTAATATAAATCGAAAAACGCCTTAAAAGATTGATGTGTCGAAGGTGTCTCTTCAATCATTGATTACGTATGTTTAAATATTTGTAATGCAATGGAAAAGAATATACTGCTGTGTTTGTGAATCGTTCCATGTAAGAATCATTTCGTAACTTTCATAGTTAAAGCGAAAAGCACGGTGTAACGTAGAGTAGTATAATGTAATACGATATATAACTGGATATAATACAGTATAATACAGGTTTTAGGTTTTAACTGGAGAAAATGAGAAAGACAAAATGAGAGAAAAGAATGCGTGAGATGAGATAAATATGTGTACGTATAAAGGAATTGTAACAAGGCTGGCCACAAGAGAGGCTGAAATAAAGACATAATAAGAACAATTAAAGCAAAACATATACTCAAAATCTCGTATATCCGACTTCTCTTTCGAAATCCAAAATGCACGTGTTTCTCTATGCATTCGTGCATTTTAATGTCAACTGGTTGTATATTGTATAATTACCACGTTTTACCTTATTTTGTGGTTTATTATTCCAGACGACATAACAGGCACGAATCGTTCGAAAAAGAGTTTACCGCGTTAATTAAAAATACGTTTTGTTTCAATTTCTTATCTTGCAATACCGCAACGTAAATTACGTAAACTTTCTCTGCAAACCAGTCACGCTAGTTCCTAGATTCATCGTACGTGGTTTAGGCTCGAGCATATCCCGACCGGTTTTAGAAGCGGAAGTGCAGCATCTTTACAAGAAAGGGAAGCACCTTTAAGTAATCAATCCTGGGGTGAAGCCTTTATCTTCGCGATCTTTCTGATCCCATGCCTCGAATTTCGGATCGCCTTCTGCTTCGTTCGCAAACCCAAGCCTCTACATCAAATTGATCGCTCTCAAAATACAGTCTTATTTTATTAATAGTCTTTCTCACCATAAATGCGGTTAAGCAACCCCAGCCGACGAACAAAATCAGCAAATTACTTCAAAATCATCGTGATTGATTTTCTTAAGATATTTTCTGTGTCTTTGTTTTTAATTTCGTGTCCTTTAAACGAAACAATTCATAAAATGTCGATACAATAAAATGAATAAAAAGGAACGTCATATGTTTCCCGTATGATATTGTAACGTTATTTTTTGAAACAATTTTCACGTATGTGAAAGTTAAAACAATTACAGATGAAATTTCTTATCTAAATCGATTTTTATTACCCATCTCGTTAACTTTATGCACCAGATCTCAGCAAACATTTTAAGTTGTATGCTACGTAGTTTCGATTTCTATATACAGAGTGTCCCAAAATTATTGTACAAGTGAAAAATGAAGGGTTCCTGAGACCATTTGAAGTAACTTTTTCCTTAGACCTAGTTCCGTTCATTGACTCGGCTGCCTCGTGCCAGCTGATCTCGTCTCCCATTGGTCACCGTTTTTCGTTAATAACTCGTAAACGAAGCCGCAGATCGCATTTTCGCTAAGGAAAAAGTTACCTCAAACGATCTCAGAAACCCCTCATTTCTCGCTTGTACAATAATTTTGAAACACTCTGCACACAGTTGAGCAAAAAGTAATCCGAATATATTATTATATTATAAATTATTATAGATTAGTTATGATAACTAACTCTGCTCTAAACTCACTGAGCAATAAGATATTTTAACAAACTGTACACGATTAAAAAATGTCTTCACAATCACGTTTTTGGTATAGTCGTTTTTGTCAAATGCAACAAGAAGTGCATAATTAAATTTAATGCATTAATTAAATGCGTTAATTAAATCTTCACTGATGCATCCACCTTTAAAACAGTTTCTCTTTTGGAACGTATTTTAAGAACAGTTCTGTTAACAAGGAATTGTAACTGACTGATCATGGCACTGTCACTCAACAGAATAACTCGGCAAAATACTTCGATCTGACGTTCAATGGGTGACCAAATAAAAATAGCTATAGGTATTATCGCTGTTACATAAAAATGTTATAAAATGTCATTGTCTTTGTGATGCTGTGATATAAAGAAGACTGCACTCGAGATTGAGACAAAAGAACTGCAATTTTTCCGTGATATCGCTGATTGTTGCTTTACGTTGGATTGCAGATAATAGAGAGTAAATTGCGGAATAACGTCTTTGGATTGGCGCCAAGTATCTTCGGATAGTATGAAACAATAGATATCTGAAATCATTTGCAGCGAAAGAAAATAATCTTTCCTTCTATGAAACATTATCTTTACTTTGGAACGTCAACAATTTCTCAGCTCGATTAAATTTATTAAATCGTAACGCATAGAGTTCCAGTAAAGTATATAAATTTACAATCTCGAGAGATCACTCTGAAGTCAAAGGATTTGAACATCAAAACTGCTGATCTTTATGGATTTATAGCATGTGCGACTTTGCAAAATACAAGAGGTCGTATATATCAATCAAAATTAATAATAGTATAATTTTAGGTTCACTATAAAGAATCTTTTAGACAATAAATAAATTTAGTCAATAAATTTAGTCAATAAATTTAGTGAATAAATTTAGTCAATAAATTTAGTCAATAAATTTAGTCAATAAATTTAGTCAATAAATTTAGTCAATAAATTTAGTCAATAAATTTAGTCAATAAATTTAGTCAATAAATTTAGTCAATAAATTTAGTCAATAAATTTAGTCAATAAATTTAGTCAATAAATTTAGTCAATAAATTTAGTCAATAAATTTAGTCAATAAATTTAGTCAATAAATTTAGTCAATAAATTTAGTCAATAAATTTAGTCAATAAATTTAGTCAATAAATTTAGTCAATAAATTTAGTCAATAAATTTAGTCAATAAATTTAGTCAATAAATTTAGTCAATAAATTTAGTCAATAAATTTAGTCAATAAATTTAGTCAATAAATTTAGTCAATAAATTTAGTCAATAAATTTAGTCAATAAATTTAGTCAATAAATTTAGTCAATAAATTTAGTCAATAAATTTAGTCAATAAATTTAGTCAATAAATTTAGTCAATAAATTTAGTCAATAAATTTAGTCAATAAATTTAGTCAATAAATTTAGTCAATAAATTTAGTCAATAAATTTAGTCAATAAATTTAGTCAATAAATTTAGTCAATAAATTTAGTCAATAAATTTAGTCAATAAATTTAGTCAATAAATTTAGTCAATAAATTTAGTCAATAAATTTAGTCAATAAATTTAGTCAATAAATTTAGTCAATAAATTTAGTCAATAAATTTAGTCAATAAATTTAGTCAATAAATTTAGTCAATAAATTTAGTCAATAAATTTAGTCAATAAATTTAGTCAATAAATTTAGTCAATAAATTTAGTCAATAAATTTAGTCAATAAATTTGCCTAAAGATCAACTATCTAATTACGATGCTTACTTTACAATTGGTGATTGCGTAATTTGAGAATAACATGTACTGCACGTATACATTATTAACATCTAGAGGCGTAATCTCATAGTTTTCACTAACTATAAATATTATTCATTGTTCAAATGAAGTTACGATCAAAATTCGCGCATTACGAACCCATCTGACAATTCGTGATCCAAAAACGCATAGGTATGATTTTAAATTCATCTTTCTCGTAAAATTGTTATCAGTCACGCTTCGTGTTATCTGGTTATAAATGGCGGTGGCTTAAGTACTTCAATAATTGTGTTTACTCTGACGAAGCAAGAACCCAGAAAGCCGAAATTATGGCGGTTACATGCAGCATGATAGATGAATCAGCAACCCGTAATTTTTAAGAACCGTGTCGATCGCCAGTGACCGACACCATGCTACTCCTGGAAAATAAGTATTTGGCTAGAAACAATAGCAACGAATTAATTTAAAAAAAAAAACAAGATTGTTTTAACTTCAAATGCTACGGCATAAATATAAAAGTACTGGCAATTTTAAATTGGACATATATTGAATAAATACGCGACACATAATTAATATTTCTTGGAAAATATAGCGAACAAAGAAAACGATGCTTGAAGAAAAGTATTTGATCTAGCGAGATTCTGGAAAACAGTATTTGGCCACTCAAGTTTGCATATAGAGGCGAAAAATAATTTGCTTTGTGTTCGCGGTATCCAATATTTTAGGACGATTTTACGTATACATATACATATGTATATGACTGTTTTAACGAGTGCTAATGCACTCGCAAATGCATGGTAATTGATTGCTTCGCCATTCTGATTCATACTTTCTGCCTTTGTTCTACATTTTTCACAAAGGATTTTCTTTTTCAGAATGAATTCGTTGCTGTTGCTGCTGGCCAAATACTTATTACCAG